CAGCAGCAACAGCAGCAACAGCAGCAACAGCAGCATGTGAATCAATCACACCAGGAACAAGTACACGGGGAACAAGCACAATGGCTACAAGTACACGGGGAACAAGCACAAAAGTATGCAAGCCCCAGTAATGAACAGCTGATATCGGAAATCAAATGCGCAATGAATACACGTAGCCCTTTTTTAGGATTGGGCCTGCAGCAACAGCAACAACAGCAGCGACAGCAGCAGCAGCAACAGCAGCAACAGCAGCAGCAGCAACAGCACCAGGATCAGGCACATTGGCTACAAGCACACACAGAACAAGCACAAAAGTATGCAAGCCCCAGTAGTGAACAGCTGATAGAGGAAATAAAACACAAATGGACATTGAATACACGTCGTCCTTTTTTAGGATTGGGCCTGCAGCAACAGCAGCAACAGCAGCAGCAGCAACAGCAGCTACAGAATGTGCAGCAGCAGCAAGTGAATCAATCACACCAGGAACAAAAGTACCAGGATCAAGCACATTGGCTACAAGTGCAACAGCTACAGGCATACGGGGAACAAGCACACGGGCTACAAGTACACGGGGAACAAACACAAGGGCTACAAGTACACGGGGAACAAGCACAAAGGTTACAAGTACACGGGGAACAAGCACAAAGACTACAAGTACACGGACAGATAAAAGAACATTGGCTGCAAGTACACAGGGAACAATCACAAAGGCTACAAGAACGCGCGGAACTAGAACAAAGGCTATCACAAGCAAACAGGGAACAAGCACATGGGTTACAAGTACACGTGGAACAAGGGCACGGGGAACAAGCACAATGGCCACGAGTACGCCACCTACAGGTACATGTGGAACTAGCACAAAGGCCACACGCAGGCGGGGAACAAGCACAATGGCAAAAAGGACACCAGCTACAAGTACATGTGGAACAAGCACAATGGCCACAAGCAGGCGAGGAACAAGCACAATGGCCACAAGCAGGCGAGGAACAAGCACAATGGCCACAAGCAGGCGAGGAACAAGCACAAAGGCTACAAGTACACGGGTTCACCTCATCGAATCACATGCTTACAGGCGGGCTGTCCGACCCTGGAGGCGTGGCCTCTGCTCTAGGGGGCTTGTCCATGCAACCCTCTTTCTCACCCACCCTTCTCGAGCACCTGCTTAATCCGTCGGTCATGACGCCGAGGAGTATGGGCGGAAACAGCATCAGCATGTCCGGCTCCCAGACCAGCGGCCCCAGTGCCAGCTCTACAGTCAGCAGCCTCGGCTCACAAAGTTCTGTTCCCATGCACCATCTAGACACCAGCCGGAGCACTGTCGGAACCAGCTCCTCCACCATGGACGTGGACTCGTACCCCATGAAGAAAAAGGCAGACGAAGGCAGGAGTAGAACCCAACCGCCACCCAGCCCCGGCCACGGCCCCAGGTCCAGTTCCCTCCACTCCGCTACCACGAGCGACACCGGCTCCGAACCGCTGGATTTCGCCCGCCGCGGCGTGAAAAGATCGCTCTCCAACGCCTCCAGCGACAACAAGCCGTCCACTTCTGGCCTCAACAGGTCAGGCACGGCGGGGCCCAGCACTATCAGTGGCGCCAGTGGCGGACCCAGCCCTTCCGAAGCCAAAGCAAGCCCCAACAGAGACCCGGCCTACTTAGAAAAACGACGCAAAAACAACGAGAGTTGTAGACGGTCGCGCGAGGCGCGGCGCAGCGATAAAGAAGTGTTGGCCCTTACTGTGGCTTCTCTTGAAGAAGAGAACGTGGAGCTGGTTACTCAGCGCTCTCTTCTGAAGACAGAGATTGGCGTGCTCAAACCGCGCGTCTTTCCCCCCGACCAGGACGGTGCAACTGACTGAAATTGTCTTTAGACCATTCCCAAATGGGGGATATTAACATGTTCTTATGCACAGTAGAATTGTAAACTTGCTGATTTATCAATGTCATACTCTTACTCATACTGAGCTGGAACAACATAGGGGGAACTGCTGCTTTTTCTTTCCTCATCCTCACTATCGTCATTTTCCCTCTACTTCTGTTTTGTATGCTTGTCACTCTCTTGTGAACTGCTATTTCCGGGGTGCCTTGATAGTCGAAGAAGACTTTGTGCTGTTGGGGCTAGAGAGGTGTGCATAGTAAGCCTAATTCTCCGTTTGGACTTCTGTTGACATCCACCCCTTGGTGTTCATATAAAACTTATGCAGTTGCAAGCGCCGTAAAACCTTACTAAAACTAAAAGCACCGCGTCTTTGAGAACTAGGCGCGTGCATGCATTCGCTGACTCACCGCCAGCGCACAGCACGGCAAGCAACGCACATGATGTAGTGGAGACTTCTCTTCAGACGGCGAAATGCTTTCTAAATACGTTGTGTGTGTGTGTGAGGGGGGGGGGGGGTGTACTTTTTGGGGCAGCATGTACTTCAAATTCAAATGATATTAACCCCTTAAGCTGAATTGGGGTAATAAAAAACCAACTGACTGCACACCAGCTGAGGTTCAACCACGTGACAGTGAAAGATAAAGCACATGGACATCATCAAAAATTCAGATGTGTTCGTCGGATATTTACTTCTATATAACATGTACGCTATTATCTCTGATTTCTTTTTTCTTCATTTCATAAGACAAGTGTTCAGACTGCCAAATGATAAACCTATTTCTAAAAATACGAATAACCCTCCCTCAAACACCAAGAAATCTCTCTTTCAACACCCTCAACAGTTATTAAAAAACCCCACAAAAACAACCCAGAGCCAAACAAACAGCACACCTACAGAGCACCCCTGTTAAAAATGGAAACAAAAACCCGTTCATCTTATGAAAACTGATCTCAGACTTTAATTTAAAAAACTTTTTTTTTAGGTCGAAAATTCCCATGTTATAAATGCAGAATGTTAGCGTATCCCGGTCAAAACTGTTAAGTTCTCTCTCTCTCTCTCTCTCTCTCTCTCTCTCTCTCTCTCTCTCTCTCTCTCTCTCTCTCTCTCTCTCTCTCTCAACATCCTCCACAATTATTTACAAAAAGAAAAACAACAACCCAAAACCAGACAAACAGCAGACCATACCTAGAGGTGTGACAAATGGATCAAAGCCCGTTCACCAAAGCTGATCTCAGATTGTTTTTTTTTGGAGTGAACAAATTCCCATGATATCAATGCAGAATATTTGCATCATGTATATCCCGGTTACAACTTTTATGATAATAAGTTCTAAGTGTACATAAAAATGTTTGTATGTCGACGAGAAGCCATATACATGTAATAATATAATATTATTAAATTGTTTTACCGTTGATGGGGCAGACAGACTGTGGCTTAGACAGGGCTGTCTGCCCAAGTATCTTCGATCTCAGAACTCTTTTTGTTTTCAACTCAACACGTTACGATCTTGCCGCTTGAAGGTCAGATGTCTTCTGAATCTTTTTACATCGTGACTTGATTTTTGTTCGTCATTTTAAAGAATTCAAATGTATACACTTACCTTGAAAAGAATGTTATCAATGTTGCCTTACTGAACTTTCTTTGAGTATTAATTAATGGAAGCAACTATCTATGTTGTAAACATTACACTTACTGGTGAAAATATTCGAAGAAATCGTCAAACGTATTCTATTGGAAAGTGAGACTGTGTATTTTGAATTTTTAAGCTTTAATGGGATTACCTTTGTCAAATTGACTGTCTGGTAACATATCAATCT